ATCGGGGGCTCCGGGGGCGCCGCCGTGCAGGGGGGAGCGCAGGGCGCCCGCACCGGCCCCGCGGTGCTCCGAGCGCTTCCTCCCCTCTGAAGCACCTTCTCCCGGGCCGCCTCCTGGGGACAGGGCGCTGATTTAGGGCCCGACCCGGCAGACCGCAGCGCATCCTTCCCTGGGGGGCCAACACCTTCCGCCTCGCCCTTAGCAGCCTCTGCAGGACGCAGTGCCCCGCAGGTTTTAAGTACCTGGGCGCACCGGGTGCTGTGCTAAAAAGCATTTCTGCCGCGGTAATTTTTAGGAAAGGAAGTGGCTGGGGCTTCCGACGTCCAGCGGTGGAGCGCGGCGCGGGGCGGCTGAGGCCCACAGCGTGCTCACCGCTGCGGGCACGCGGGGTAGAGAGCAGCCGCTGTGCCTCCAGCTGCTGCCAGCAGCACCCTACCCTTCCCGGGACACCGGCAACACCAGGAAGACGTTTGTTCGTGGCCCACAGCTGTGCTGCAGCGGTGCACGTGTAAAGTGTCGTGGCATGGCATAAATCTGATTGCGTATTAGAAATCTTTGCCCTTCAGAAACACAGGGCAGATTTCCAGAGGGGCAGAATTCCCGTCTGCGGCTGGCAATTCTGAACAGGCAGGACAGAGCCATTGGCTGTAATTGAAACACCTGAAAATTGGACATGTAAGTCATAGGTAATCACCTGGGGCAGTCTGAGCGTCCAACTTTTACTCACGATCTCATGTGAGATGCACCTCCTCTGTGGTCACTAATAACTGAATTAGTTATTAGTTAATAACTGAAAAGGTAACTTTTCTCCTTACATAGAAAGCAAAAGCCAGTTTCTATCTGCAAGGTTTTTTGCGCAAAGTTGTTTTTTTTTAATTTATCTATTACTTCTGTGGGATTATAATACCAGAATGCTTTTTTGGTGATTGACTCATACTTGATCTTTACAATCACTAAATTGTGGCAAACAAGTTTACAAAGGGGGAGATGGGCTACGGGCCTCCCTGTCCTTCTTATGAAGTTTCAGGGTACACCACTTTGCCAGGAGGAACAATTTGCTTATAGCTGTGTGGCTGGAGAAAAAACATACTAGGCATCACTAGTGTTGAGAAAGTGTAGGTCAAATGTTGGGTATGCATCCCTCTCTGCACCCCCTGGGAGCAGGTGGTGGGGGCCTCGGCACCTCTGGTGCATGGAGCTGCTTTGCTTTGGGGTGGGAAAGCAACAGCTTTTGTGCTTATAACCCCTGCCAAGAGTGGGGCTACCCAGACTGAGCCCTGCTATGATGGCTGCACCCAGACGCTGTGTCGTCACCAAAGGGTTGAGCCATGTGAGTGGCACCAATGTTATCCTCATTCAGGCATAAGAGGGTACAAAGTACTGAAGTATGACCTGAACAGCTGGGTTCTCAGTGGAGCCGCACTCCTCTGGGCACATGCCTGCCTTTTGTGGGGATATTTCCATGGTTTCTGTGTGCTATCAGGACCATGCTATGGTTCATAGAATCGTAGAGTCATAGAATGGTTTGGGTTGGAAGCGACCTTTAAAGGTCATCTCCCTGCCTGCAATGAGCAGGGACATCTTAAACCAGAAAAGAGATCAGGCTGCTCAGAGCCCCGTCCAATCTGACCTTGAATGTTTCCATTCTCTTTTAGTTTAAAACCACTGGGTTTTAATAACCTTGGGTTATTGCCCAAGGGACCATGGAAAACGCGTCCAGCTTCCCGAACACATTGCAGGGCACTGTATGCTCATTTTTGAGTGTTATGAGCGTGGAGTGATTCAGTCTGTGCCCTCAGTGCAAACCAGAGTCTCCAGTCATGCTGAAAGTATTGGCCACATTTTAGCCTACTGCCTTGGATAAGCCCAGCAGACTTGGGTGAGAGGTTCTCACTGTAACAAGGGAAGGGTTAAGAGCAACCCTGGGATAAGAGTTTGGGCTAGCTCTTCAGTGAAGACCTGCTTAGAAAAACACAGAACAGAAATACTCTCTTGCCAACATGGTTCTACCGCTGGTTTGCCCCTTAATTTTACATCCTCTTTGTTCCTGGACATGTAGGTCTGAACTCCAGAAGACCCTTAACACATGCTTCTGCCTGTTCGCAGCGAGGATCCCAGATGGGACGCTTGCCTGAATCAGGACTGAAGCTTGTGACATACTTTGAGATCCCTTAGAGTGAAATTCTTGTGGATATGTAGAATGGGCATATTTTTTGAGAAAGAACTTTTTTTCTCCTACAGGTGTACAAGTAGAGCCGGTTCACATAACAGCTTACCTGAAAATTAATGTCCTCAAAAACTGAGAGATAGTAATAAAAGTATAAGCACAGTTAAACACCAGGGAGCCCTTCCCTGTTAAAGCAGCTCATACACAGATGTGTAGGAGTGTAGTTAATATCATTCCATATTTAAATGCTTCATGGAAGGCTGGGCTTATAGAGAAGGCTAATTTCTTCTGACAATGAATCTTAGCAATAAGCCAATAGATATGATGGATTTAGTCATGAGATTAAGGTTTCATTCCCATGCCCATATTGACAAATTTGTCTTAATTTTTTCCTTCAACTTTCTTCTTGGAGTTCTATGACACTGTATAATGTAACAATATATATCCATATTCCTCCACGCATTTTAATTTGTGTTTGTTCCAACTTCTTGTACCTTGTATCTCTAAGCTTTAAGAACTTACAAAAAAATCTCAGACATGATTTGTTTGCATTCATTGGAAATAATGAGAGGAATGAATATACATGAGTATCAGTAAGAGTGGTCTTATGAAGCAACTCCAATTCATTTCTTTATCAAAGCTGTTTATTCACTCCTTGCCACATGCAAAAGCCGCGAGCAAGAGCAGATATTATATAGTTTTGTCACTGGACAATAGCTTTGCGCTTAGAGTTGATATACAAAAACAATTGAAAAATATTGATTGTTTTGGATAAAAAAAAGGTTTTTAAACATAAAAAAAAGGAGACATTTTCCTTTCACTTAAAATTTCCTAGGTTTTGAAGGCATGCCTGAAAGACAAACCTGGACACTTTTGATGGAACATTTTTCATTTTCAACCAATTTCCTCCCCCTCTCACTGACAAAGGAAAATGTGAGTTTTGATTTTCCACAAAGTGCATGTCACAAGAAATTTCTCATGAAAAATCACAACAGCTCTTTTCAGCTGACTTTCTTGATATGTGAGATACTTCTCCCTGCGAATCCTTGGTGATGACAATGACATTCAAAGTGGGAGAAGAGTCTTCCCAGGGTCAGAAAACATTGTGAGCAACAAATTTTTTCAACTTTGTCTCCCCTTTGATAAGGTACATTAATATAGCAGCTGCACAGTTATGTGATATTTTAAATATATTTAGGTCACATATTTAAGAACTTAAATACACTTAAGTTTAAAATATGTTTATGTTATTTGAAATATTTGTATTTATACATCTTGGAATTAGCTCTTATATTAATGGATACACTCTTACAACGTTCAAAGAAGAGAGAGCCATTGCATTTCTTCTTTCTGGAAAGCAGAGTGAAATACAGTGTATTATGAGAGCCCCAAGCAAACCAGCTTTGCCCCTGGCCCAGCACAGGCTTGCAGACAATAAAATGGAAATAAAAATGGGCACAGCAGCACCTATCCCTCAGCCTGTCAGTTGGCATCAGTCTCTCTCTGGCACCAATGCATTAGACAAAGGTAAGAGAAGCAAATCCTGCACACAGTAAGCCTTAGCTGACACCATGAGTTTTCCCACGGAAGGGGAGTTTTACAAAACACCTCTGAGACAGCTGGCATTTAAAGTCAGCTGGCATTTAAACGTCGGTAAATACAAAGCAGTTGAATTTTATGTGGGGTAAGACAAACCACGTCTCACTCTGTTTGTATTAATAAGAGATGTGTCCCGGGCACATTTTCCTGCTGCTGGAGGCTGGAAAGCCAGTTAATGACAGCTGCTGCAGCGTGACTGCAGGTAAAAAGATTAATGTGTGCAAAGCTTTGGTCATTGCTGTCTACTGCTCCTACCTCATTCCCAGTGTCAGTGACACTCCTTTGATTTATAGTGGTCAAAGGGCAAAAATGAAGCATTGGCAGTGGGAGGCAAAAGGTAAGGAGAAGAGAGGAGAAGAAGGGGGAGCTCAAGCCCTAGCAGAAATCGGGCGCTCCCATTTTGGAGACCCCCAACACAGCTGTGTCCCAGGACTGAGGTCTCTCCCCCATAGCAGCTCTTGGTGCTGGGTTTGGGTGTTGCCTGAACAGCAGGAGCAGCCCGGATCAGAGGGTGGTTCATGCCCGCTGTGACATACTGAGTGGTGCCACTGGGTGTCCTGTTTGCTGCATTCGGGTGACGTATAGCAGCCACAAAGTGGAAATTAACAGTTTCAAACCAGCTGTCTCCAGTGGGGGAATTTCAGGCCCTTCGACATGAAATCGGTGAGGGTCACGATTCACCCTCAGGTTCATACAACAGAAGATATATGCACACCTGCACATCTTCAGGGAGAATTTTAAGACTCAGGGCTTGAGCAATGTACAGCAAAGATTTTGGTAGAGGCAGACCCGCATCACATCTGTGTCCTCTTTTAGCC